CAAAAGGGACAACCAGCCTTATTCAACTAAAAATATGTTGGTTCTCCCTTACCATGAAAACTTGGTTGATATGCCTTCTCTTCTTAAGACTTTTAATATTAAAGTTGTATTCAAAAATCTTGATACAGTAAAAAAAAAATTTTGATAAAGAATTCCCCCCAAAATGCTGATGGATGTGTCTATAAGATTCCTTGTAAAATTTGCGATAAAGTTTATTACGGTCAAACTGGTAAAAATCTCGAACTAAGATTAAAACAACATAAATATAGCATTAGAACTGGACAAGATTCCAATGCTCTATTTATTCATGTAAGAGATTTTAACCATCCAATTGATTTTCAAAAAGTTGAGAAAGTAGTATCAACCAAGTCCATGGTCGACAGGAATATAATTGAATCTTGTTTCATAAAAAGCAGTTTTGACAATAATATGAATATTTCCTTTGGTTTATATAAATTAGATCCATTTATATTTAATAGAATTTGGGAAGAATTTAATAATACACTGGACAAATAATAATTTTTAAAATTTCTTATTTCTTGGGTAGAATAGTTTGTTGGTGGGTTGTGTGAAGGACCTGTCTAGTTGGGCCGGCGGGCCTGCTGCAGTGTTCCCTTTCTTATGAGTCGCGCGTCAGGTGTTTCATTGTTGTGGGATCTGATGGTGAGGTGTTGGCTACACCCCTTATATACCTTCCTTTGATGCTTTACATTCATAGTTCCTTTGATAATGTGAGTAGTTTCAGCATAGTTGCTGATCCCCTTATATGTGTTGTATAGCATATCATAGTACCATCTACGTGTTTATATAGAAGATCCCTTTTAGGCCTGTGACTGTGTGACGTCACGGGATGCGCATGTGTACGTTCGTACCTCTGCCTCCTCAGTCGGTGCATAGACATCCAGGCTAGAACAAGGCAAGGCTGGGCTCCGTCTCCCATTACCACAGTCTGACAATATAGCGTTACCATCCAACAAGTGTGTCTATCTTCAACCCTCGATATCTCCTTTTAAGAACCCCTACGACATAGTCACGAAAGCGCTTGGAACTTCTCTATTCTTTCACAGTGGTTGTTTTGCATATTCTGAAATCACCTGTTTACTGTGATCTTATTGCATATATATATATATATATATATATATATATATATATATATATATATAATATATATATATATATATATATATAATTATAATATATATATATATGTATATGTATATGTATATATATATATATGTATATATATATATATATATATAATATATATATATATATATATATATATATATATATATATATATATATATAATATATATATATATATATATTATATATATATATATATATATATATATATATATATATATACATATATATATATATATATATAATATATATATATATATATATATATATATATATATATATATATATATATATACATACATATATATGTATGTATGTATACACGAGTGAATGTAAGATACAAAAGCTACGTTAGGTCATTTATTAGGAAGACGTTTTGCCCACCAGGGGTTTTATCAACCCAATATGGGATTGAATTGATACCTCCCTGGATAACACCCATAACTATACCGCTTCTCAATGAATATAAAACACACGCGTGACACACATCCCGTCACCCCTGTATCCACTATCTGCTCATCTGGCTTCAGATGACCGAGATAAACCCGGACCGAACCCGAGGTATCGATAACCTCAGGCGGACACCAGTTGCTTGTTCCATAACCCACTGACTGTGTTGTCTCCTCTCTTAAACAGTGTTGGAGCGCCCGGGGTAGTCACTCAATCTGCGTTATGACGTGTAAAGTGATTGGTTATACATATTTACGTCAGTTCTTTAAACTATTAACCCATTACATAATAGTTTCGTTCTAATATTAACGTAGTGGAGGTGGGAAGTACAGTGCCTGCACTCTGAAGGATGAGTGAGGATGTTACAGTCCTGGAGATGGGAAGTACAGTGCCTGCACTCTGAAGGATGGGTGAGGATGTTACAGTCCTGGAGGTGGGAAGTACAGTACCTGCACTCTGAAGGATGAGTGAGGATGTTACAGTACTGGAGGTGGGAAGTACAGTACCTGCACTCTGAAGGATGAGTGAGGATGTTACAGTCCTGGAGGTGGGAAGTACACTACCTGCACTCTGAAGGATGAGTGAGAATGTTACAGTCCTGGAGGTGTGAAGTACAGTACCTGCACTCTGAAGGATGAGTGAGAATGTTACAGTCCTGGAGGTGGGAAGTACAGTACCTGCACTCTGAAGGATGGGTGAGGATGTTACAGTCCTGGAGGTGTGAAGTACAGTACCTGCACTCTGAAGGATGAGTGAGAATGTTACAGTCCTGGAGGTGGGAAGTACAGTACCTGCACTCTGAAGGATGGGTGAGGATGTTACAGTTCTGGAGGTGGGAAGTACAGTACCTGCACTCTGAAGGATGGGTGAGGATGTTACAGTCCTGGAGGTGGGAAGTATAGTACCTGCACTCTGAAGGATGAGTGAGGATGTTACAGTCCTGGAGGTGAGAAGTACAGTGCCTGCACTCTGAAGGATGAATGAGGATGTTACAGCCCTGGAGGTGAGAAGTACAGTGCCTGCACTCTGAAGGATGAGTGAGGATGTTACAGTGCTGGAGATGGGAAATACAGTGCCTGCACTCTGAAGGATGGGTGAGGATGTTACAGTGCTGGAGGTGAAAAGTACAGTGCCTGCACTCTGAAGGATGAGTGAGGATGTTACAGTCCTTGAGGTGGGAAGTACAGTACCTGCCCTCTGAAGGATGAGTGAGAATGTTACAGTCCTGGAGGTGGGAAGTACAGTACCTGCACTCTGAAGGATGAGTGAGGATGTTACAGTCCTGGAGGTAAGAAGTACAGTACCTGCACTCTGAAGGATGAGTGAGGATGTTACAGTCCTGGAGGTGGGAAGTACAGTACCTGCACTCTGAAGGATGAGTGAGGATGTTACAGTCCTGGAGGTGGGAAGTACAGTACCTGCACTCTGAAGGATGAGTGAGAATGTTACAGTCCTGGAGGTGGGAAGTACAGTACCTGCACTCTGAAGGATGAGTGAGGATGTTACAGTACTGGAGGTGGGAAGTACAGTACCTACACTCTGAAGGATGAGTGAGAATGTTACAGTCCTGGAGGTGGGAAGTACAGTACCTGCACTCTGAAGGATGAGTGAGAATGTTACAGTCCTGGAGGTGTGAAGTACAGTACCCGCACTCTGAAGGATGAGTGAGAATGTTACAGTCCTGGAGGTGTGAAGTACAGTGCCTGCACTCTGAAGGATGAGTGAGAATGTTACAGTCCTGGAGGTGTGAAGTACAGTGCCTGCACTCTTAAGGATGAGTGAGAATGTTACAGTCCTGGAGGTGTGAAGTACAGTGCCTGCACTCTGAAGGATGAGTGAGAATGTTACAGTCCTGGAGGTGTGAAGTACAGTGCCTGCACTCTGAAGGATGAGTGAGAATGTTACAGTCCTGGAGGTGGGAAGTACAGTACCTGCACTCTGAAGGATGAGTGAGAATGTTACAGTCCTGGAGGTGGGAAGTACAGTACCCGCACTCTGAAGGATGAGTGAGGATGTTACAGTCCTGGAGGTGGGAAGTACAGTACCCGCACTCTGAAGGATGAGTGAGAATGTTACAGTCCTGGAGGTGAGAAGTACAGTGCCTGCACTCTGAAGGATGTGTAAGGATGACGTCACAATTCAAGTAATCTGAACTGTGACATCAGCACACTGATGGCAAGACAGTAATTGAATGAATGATGGTGAATGTACCTCCTCTATTTGTCGGGTCACACTACGTCGGCGGGGGACGGCAAATATACATAAAAATATATAGATGTGGACCAGATAAACGCAGCAAATAGACAGATATACTGGTATGATTAATGTATATCCTCGTAATATATTCACGATCACATATCTCCTGGATCAAGAGCACTTCACTGCCATCCATTATACCTCCCTAAAATTTGTTTTCAGAATGATTCTCATTTGTTTTTATATATTCAAAAAAAAATCGTGCCGAAAATTGTCTTTGGACTTTACTGGGTAATAATCATTTATTTTATAATAAATGTTAAAACATTAACTGTCAAGATTATTATTATTATTATTATTATTAGTGGTAGTAGTAACAGTAGTTATTATATTTAATTTATATTAAATAAATTATATTCACAGTATTGATACTATCATCTACAGACTGACCATTGTACCCCTGAGTGCCGTGTCAGTGCGACCCTGGACCCTGGACCCTGGACCCTGGACCCTGGACCCTGGACCCTGGACCCTGGACCCTAGATCCTGGACCCTGGACCCTGGACCCTGGACCCTGGACCCTGGACCCTGGACCCTGGACCCTGGACCCTGGACCCTGGACCCTAGACCCTGGATCCTGGACCCTGGACCCTGGACCCTGGACCCTGGACCCTGGACCCTGGGCCATGGAACAAGTAGCGACCCTAGACAGACTCTGTAGAGAGCTAAGAGCATCTCTGGAAGACGTGAAGAAGGATGTGAGAAGTCTACGGGAAGAGAACGCCAGGTTTCAATTCTCCTCGCGAGAGAAGGAAGAGGAGGACGGCCGTGATAAAAGAAAGTTAGTGGGAAGGATAGGGATAAGAATTAAGGTGAGGGATAGTAGAGACACCGGTGTGGATAATGGGAGATCGGTGCAGCAGGATGGAGACGAGGAACAGATACACAGTGTTGAATGCAGGAAGGAAGTTCACAAGAATGAACACAAGAAGAAAGAAATCGAGAATGAACACAGGAAGAACAGACTCAAGGAGAATGAAGACACAATAAAAAAACCAACTAAGGAAGGTAAGTATATATATATATATATATATATATATATAATATATATATATATATATATATATATATATATATATATATATATATATATATATATATATATATATATGTATATAATATATGTATACTGGACTGCAAAAGCCACTGGCTGGCGACACGTCTACATGAAGAGATATACCCAGGTGTTGCCCACCTGTCTGATTCATCTTATTCACTAATGTAATGTCAAGTTTACACTGGGAAGGTCGAGTAGTCAGAGTGTGAATCTTGATTGCCTGGCATTTCCCACGAACACTTAACGGATTTAGCGCCCTCCTTTCCTAAATGTAATGACTATATGAGAGGTATTGGACGCTTAACTTGCCATCCTGTGTATTCTACAGAGTATAAAGCCCCTGGGACTACCCAGGACTACTACTCGACTACCCAGGACTACTACTCGACTACCCAGGGAAAACCATTTATTAGTAAGTACCTCAAGATCAACCTAAATTTATTATCATCATTATATATATATATATATATATATATATATATATATATATATATATATATATATATATAATATATATATATATATATATATATATATATATATATGCAGAACAAACCACGAGGGGATGAAAACATTAGCTAAAGGCTTTTCACACAGGTGTTTCGTCAGGAGCTATGCAGATGGGTTGAGGAGGAAGCTGTGTCAGTGGTAAGACAGTGTGTGCTGACGCTGGCATCTGCAAGAGTACCTTGCTAAAATGTAACCTAATATAAATATTTCACATCCACATATAAGCTTCATTGTAAAACATTCGTCATTTAATTCATATCTGCATAAATAACACATTACGAATGTAACCGGATATTAACATGGAAACAGTTCATTACTACTGTAATTTGTTCAGCAATCAAAACTTTGTGGCCCAGTTCCTGGACCCATTATGTACCTCTGTAATGTTGAGGTACAGTTCCTGGACCCATTATGTACCTCTGTAATGTTGAGGTACAGTTCCTGGACCCATTATGTACCTCTGTAATGTTGAGGTACAGTTCCTGGACCCATTATGTACCTCTGTAATGTTGAGGTACAGTTCCTGGACCCATTATGTACCTCTGTAATGTTGAGGTACAGTCCCTGGACCCATTATGTACCTCTGTAATGTTGAGGTACAGTTCCTGGACCCATTATGTACCTCTGTAATGTTGAGGTACAGTTCCTGGACCCATTATGTACCTCTGTAATGTTGAGGTACAGTTCCTGGACCCATTATGTACCTCTGTAATGTTGAGGTACAGTTCCTGGACCCATTATGTACCTCTGTAATGTTGAGGTACAGTTCCTGGACCCATTATGTACCTCTGTAATGTTGAGGTACAGTCCCTGGACCCATTATGTACCTCTGTAATGTTGAGGTACAGTTCCTGGACCCATTATGTACCTCTGTAATGTTGAGGTACAGTTCCTGGACCCATTATGTACCTCTGTAATGTTGAGGTACAGTCCCTGGACCCGTTATGTACCTCTGTAATGTTGAGGTACAGTCCCTGGACCCGTTATGTACCTCTGTAATGTTGAGGTACAGTCCCTGGACCCATTATGTACCTCTGTAATGTTGAGGTACAGTTCCTGGACCCATTATGTACCTCTGTAATGTTGAAGTACAGTTCCTGGACCCATTATGTACCTCTGTAATGTTGAGGTACAGTTCCTGGACCCATTATGTACCTCTGTAATGTTGAGGTACAGTTCCTGGACCCATTATGTACCTCTGTAATGTTGAGGTACAGTTCCTGGACCCATTATGTACCTCTGTAATGTTGAGGTACAGTCCCTGGACCCATTATGTACCTCTGTAATGTTGAGGTACAGTCCCTGGACCCGTTATGTACCTCTGTAATGTTGAGGTACAGTCCCTGGACCCATTATGTACCTCTGTAATGTTGAGGTACAGTTCCTGGACCCATTATGTACCTCTGTAATGTTGAGGTACAGTTCCTGGACCCATTATGTACCTCTGTAATGTTGAGGTACAGTTCCTGGACCCATTATGTACCTCTGTAATGTTGAGGTACAGTTCCTGGACCCATTATGTACCTCTGTAATGTTGAGGTACAGTTCCTGGACCCATTATGTACCTCTGTAATGTTGAGGTACAGTTCCTGGACCCATTATGTACCTCTGTAATGTTGAGGTACAGTTCCTGGACCCATTATGTACCTCTGTAATGTTGAGGTACAGTTCCTGGACCCGTTATGTACCTCTGTAATGTTGAGGTACAGTTCCTGGACCCATTATGTACCTCTGTAATGTTGAGGTACAGTTCCTGGACCCATTATGTACCTCTGTAATGTTGAGGTACAGTTCCTAGACCCATTATGTACCTCTGTAATGTTGAGGTACAGTCCCTGGATCCACTATGTACCTCTGTAATGTTGAGGTACAGTTCCTGGATCCATTATGTACCTCTGTAATGTTGAGGTACAGTCCCTGGATCCACTATGTACCTCTGTAATGTTGAGGTACAGTTCCTGGATCCATTATGTACCTCTGTAATGTTGAGGTACAGTCCCTGGATCCACTATGTACCTCTGTAATGTTGAGGTACAGTTCCTGGATCCATTATGTACCTCTGTAATGTTGAGGTACAGTTCCTGGATCCATTATGTACCTCTGTAATGTTGAGGTACAGTTCCTGGATCCATTATGTACCTCTGTAATGTTGAAGTACAGTTCCTGGACCCATTATGTACCTCTGTAATGATGAGGTACAGTTCCTGGATCCATTATGTACCTCTGTAATGATGAGGTACAGTTCCTGGACCCATTATTTACCTCTGTAATGTTGAGGTACAGTCCCTGGACCCATTATGTACCTCTGTAATGTTGAGGTACAGTTCCTGGATCCATTATGTACCTCTGTAATGATGAGGTACAGTTCCTGGACCCATTATTTACCTCTGTAATGTTGAGGTACAGTTCCTGGACCCATTATGTACCTCTGTAATGTTGAGGTACAGTCCCTGGACCCGTTATGTACCTCTAATGTTGAGGTACAGTCCCTGGACCCATTATGTACCTCTGTAACGTTGAGGTACAGTCCCTGGACCCATTATGTACCTCTGTGTCTGTAATGTTGAGGTACAGTCCTTGGACCCATTATGTACCTCTGTAATGTTGAGGTACAGTCCCTGGGCCCATTATGTACCTCTGTAATGTTGAGGTACAGTTCCTGGATCCATTATGTACCTCTGTAATGTTGAAGTACAGTTCATGGACCCATTATGTACCTCTGTAATGATGAGGTACAGTTCCTGGATCCATTATGTACCTCTGTAATGATGAGGTACAGTTCCTGGACCCATTATTTACCTCTGTAATGTTGAGGTACAGTCCCTGGACCCATTATGTACCTCTGTAATGTTGAGGTACAGTTCCTGGATCCATTATGTACCTCTGTAATGATGAGGTACAGTTCCTGGACCCATTATTTACCTCTGTAATGTTGAGGTACAGTTCCTGGACCCATTATGTACCTCTGTAATGTTGAGGTACAGTTCCTGGACCCATTATGTACCTCTGTAATGTTGAGGTACAGTTCCTGGGCCCATTATGTACCTCTGTAATGTTGAGGTACAGTTCCTGGACCCATTATGTACCTCTGTAATGTTGAGGTACAGTTCCTGGACCCGTTATGTACCTCTGTAATGTTGAGGTACAGTTCCTGGACCCATTATGTACCTCTGTAATGTTGAGGTACAGTTCCTGGACCCATTATGTACCTCTGTAATGTTGAGGTACAGTTCCTGGACCCATTATGTACCTCTGTAATGTTGAGGTACAGTCCCTGGATCCACTATGTACCTCTGTAATGTTGAGGTACAGTTCCTGGATCCATTATGTACCTCTGTAATGTTGAGGTACAGTCCCTGGATCCACTATGTACCTCTGTAATGTTGAGGTACAGTTCCTGGATCCATTATGTACCTCTGTAATGTTGAGGTACAGTCCCTGGATCCACTATGTACCTCTGTAATGTTGAGGTACAGTTCCTGGATCCATTATGTACCTCTGTAATGTTGAGGTACAGTTCCTGGATCCATTATGTACCTCTGTAATGTTGAGGTACAGTTCCTGGATCCATTATGTACCTCTGTAATGTTGAAGTACAGTTCCTGGACCCATTATGTACCTCTGTAATGATGAGGTACAGTTCCTGGATCCATTATGTACCTCTGTAATGATGAGGTACAGTTCCTGGACCCATTATTTACCTCTGTAATGTTGAGGTACAGTCCCTGGACCCATTATGTACCTCTGTAATGTTGAGGTACAGTCCTGGATCCATTATGTACCTCTGTAATGATGAGGTACAGTTCCTGGACCCATTATTTACCTCTGTAATGTTGAGGTACAGTTCCTGGACCCATTATGTACCTCTGTAATGTTGAGGTACAGTCCCTGGACCCGTTATGTACCTCTAATGTTGAGGTACAGTCCCTGGACCCATTATGTACCTCTGTAACGTTGAGGTACAGTCCCTGGACCCATTATGTACCTCTGTGTCTGTAATGTTGAGGTACAGTCCTTGGACCCATTATGTACCTCTGTAATGTTGAGGTACAGTCCCTGGGCCCATTATGTACCTCTGTAATGTTGAGGTAAAGTCCCTGGACCCATTATGTACCTCTGTGCTGCTGAGGTACAGTCCCTGGACCCATTATGTACCTCTGTAACGTTGAGGTACAGTCCCTGGACCGATTATGTACCTCTGTGTCTGTAATGTTGAGGTACAGTCCTTGGACCCATTATGTACCTCTGTAATGTTGAGGTACAGTCCCTGGGCCCATTATGTACCTCTGTAATGTTGAGGTACAGTCCCTGGACCCATTCTGTACATCTGTAATGTTGAGGTACAGTACCTGGACCCATTATGTACCTCTGTAATGTGGAGGTACAGTCCCTGAACCCATTATGTACCTCTGTGATGCTGAGGTACAGTCCCTGGACCCATTATGTGTCTGTGATGTTGAGGTACAGTCCCTGTGCCCATTATGTATCTCTGTGACGTTGAGGTACAGTCCCTGGACCCGTTATGTACCTCTGTAATGTTGAGGTACAGTCCCTGGACCCGTTATGTACCTCTGTAATGTTGAGGTACAGTCCCTGGACCCATTATGTACCTCTGTAACGTTGAGGTACAGTCCCTGGACCCATTATGTACCTCTGTGTCTGTAATGTTGAGGTACAGTCCTTGGACCCATTATGTACCTCTGTAATGTTGAGGTACAGTACCTGGACCCATTATGTACCTCTGTAATGTTGAGCTATAGTCCCTGAACCCATTATGTACCTCTGTGATGCTGAGGTACAGTCCCTGGGCCCATTATGTATATCTGTGACGTTGAGGTACAGTCCCTGGACCCGTTATGTGTCTGTGAAGCTGAGGTACAGTCCCTGGACCCATTATGTGTCTGTGATGCTGAGGTACAGTTCCTGGACCCATTATATACCTCAGTAATGTTTTAACTATCTGTCATGGTAGTGAACAACTTTTGATGTCAAGAATTAAAATCACTTTTTTTCTGTCAGTTCATACCTGATTGCTTTCCATTCCTCAGGTGCTGCGTGACCCTTACAACTTAAGCGCTTATCCATAACTTTAATAAGGTGTTTTGCATCAAGAGACAGATGTAGTAAAATGAGATTCCTAATTACCTACGTTTCGCCCATGTAGTGGCTTTGTCACATCGTTTCAAACTGATAAAACCCACATTATGGGCGAAACATCAATAAAGAATTACGTTATACTGCAGTTTGTCTCGCTTTTTGCCCCCGAGTTTGTGTTTTTACACTATTTCTCTTAAGTGGATGTTGTTGCAGGGTTGGTGACGGTGATGGCTGGGCTGATGAACAGTGGTGTGAGTGTGGCCAGTGTGGTGATGTCTGCTGTCTTCCACCATCCCATACTCACACCATGCCTCACACTTCATGGTAAGTCACACTATATATCAATCTGCTGCAGCCAGAGGTGAATCTACGACTCTAAATACGTTTTATCATTCTCTTAATAATAATAATAATAATAATAATAATAATAATAATAATAATAATAATAATAATAATAATAATAATAATAATAATAATAATAGTAATAATAATAATAATAATAATAATAATAATAATAATAATAATAATAATAATAATAATAATAATAATAATAATAATAATAATAATAATAATAATAAAAATAATTATAATAATAATAATCTTTATCTCCACAAGTACATGATACAACTTATACAGACCATAGCTGACATCAATGACATACTACTATATAGAAAGCCCCTTGTTATGCAGAGCATTTCGGGAAAATTAGGTCAGTTTTGTCCCCAGGATGCGACCCACACCAGTCAACTAACACTCAGGTACCTATTTTACTGATCTGGAGATCTGGAGTTTATCTGGAGAGAGTTCCGGGGGTCAACGCCCCCGCGGCCCGGTCTGTGACCAGGCCTCCTTAGGTCAGTGTCCCAGGATGCGACCCACACCAGTCGACTAACACCCAGGTACCCATTTTACTGATGGGGAACATAGACAACAGGTGGAAAGAAACACGTTCAATGTTTCTGCTCTGGCTGGGAATCGAACTCAGGCCCTCACCGTGTGAAGCGAGAGCGTTAACCACCAGGCCACCAGGACAACAGGTGTAAGGAAACACGTCCAATGTTTCCACCCTTGCTGGGAATCGAACCAGGACACTCAGCGTGTGAAGCGAGATTTTTTTACACCAGGCCTGGTGGCCCCGGTGGCTTCCACTGGATTACCCCTCCACCCCTTTAAAAATTATATTTATAGTTACATCCATTACATTACAACCCAACAGACATAACTACTGTAAAAGATTATGTAAACTAAATGAATCACTAGACATTATCTAAGGACATTACTGTTCCTTCAGGAGTTGCCCAGGTGTCTGCAGTGGCAGGAATGGCTGTTTATGCTGATGTCACAGCTCAACTCCAGCATAACTCGCATCAGACCAGGATGCTGCAAGCCGGCAGAAGGAAAAACAGGAAATCCTACCTGATTAGAAAAGAGAAACGAGTTTATCGAAGCCTAAGCATCAATAATTTGAGAGAGAAAACTGGTAACCTAATTCCTCTGGAAGAAGAAGTGATGGGAGAGACTGGTGCATGGTTTTACGTCTCTTGTAAGATATTTACAGCTGTTAGCGTCGCGTTCCTCCTTCCTGTGACCACTGTCGGTAAGTTTCAATTTACATTTTATTTCACATAATTACAATTATTATTATTATTATTATTATAATCAAGGGGAAGCGCTAAACCCGGAGGATTATACAGCGCCTGGGGGGGGGTGGAATGTGGAAGGCATTCAGGCTTAATTCGGGGAACTGGAGCACAGATCCAATTCCCTAAATCAAGAGCCCCTCACCAACATCAAGGAACCTTCCTTGAGGGGAATATATTACAAGAACACCAATGAAAATAAGTCACTTTTGACGTTTTTTTTTGGGGGGGAGGGGGGGTTATCCTAGGTAATTTACACATGTTACTATGCTTAAGAATTCGCAAACTGGTAAAACTATTTACAAACATCCATCAGTACACAGCAGGATTCGAACCTGTACACTCTGCGTGGTGCTTTAGTCACTCAGCCAGATCCCAGATAAGACTGGATATCGAAAATGGTTATACTCATAACCACAGTTGTTAAGGTGGTGGAAGGGTAAGCCAGCGAAAGGCTTCGGTCAGATGACCAAAAGCTCCAGCTTTGGGTTATCATATGACTACGACCCGCGTCAGGAAATACTTGTCCTGTTTCCTGACAAATCTTACCTAACTTAATATCCCAGATAAGCATGGGCGCCTAGCCGAAGTTAGACGGTTGTTCTCATACCCTGGCTACACACTCTGCAGAGAGTGCAGGTTCGAGTCCTGCTGTGGACTCAGAGATAATGCTTGTATATCTTACTATGTATAATTGTACTTACGTTGACCTGTACCTAAATCAACTTACATATTTTATTGATTGAAACGTTTCACCCACACAGTAGCTTCTTTAGTCAAATACAGAGGCAGCAGGTGTTGTAGCGAAGTAAAGATGATTTAATTAGTCCATCAGCCTTGGAGAAAAAAATTCGAGGTGGTCAGTCCCTCAATCATAGTCCATACGTAGTTCCAGACTCTGGATCTGAACACTTCTCCAGGCTGAGGGACTGACCACCTCAAATACTATTCCTCCAAGGCTGATGGACTGATTATATCATATTTCCTTCGTTACCACGCCTGCTGCCTCTGCATTTGACTAAAGAAGCCTACTATGTAGGCGAAACGTAAGTACAAGAGTAAATTCTGGGGTAGCTTTGGGTAGTGGTGGTTTTGACAAGGACCTGCCTTGTATGGGCCGGTAGGTCTTCTGCAGTGTTCCTCCATTCCTATGTTCAATCAAGAACAACAATACCGACAGGTTGTTACTGTGTAGGCGAAACGTTTCATAATAAAGATACCTAACTGTTGCATATGTGTCTTACCTAACAAGAACAACAATACCCAGGTGTTGCACATGTGTCTTACTCTTCGAAAATTATGATACTGACTCGCCCATTATCTCATCTCTGTTCCACCCGCCGTAACTCACTCTCTTCTCATCTTTGCTATCTTCCTTACGTTACATTGTACACAATTTTGATTTTTCTCCCTCATTGCCCATCTCACCTCGTCATTTCACCAATAATTCATCTTCCTCTAGCAAGCGCCTTCCTAAAACTATAAATTGGTGAATTGGGTTTAAATCGTCTCGACACAAGAGGGTCATTAAGGCTGCATGGTACCTATTCATCACTTGCAATTTAATCCCAATTATGGAGGTGCTGCATTAACTCACTGTGTTATATACATATATATATATATATATATATATATATATATATATATATATATATATATATATATATATATATATATATATATATATATATATATATATATATATATATATATATATATATATATATATATATATATATATATATATATATATATATTATATATATATATATATATATATATATATATATAATGCCATAAAGCTATCTATTATTGGCATAACATTGTTGGTTGGTTAATTAGGTTTCAAGCCTATCTATTAAACGAGGGTCATTAAGGCTGTATGGTGACCTGTCTCACCACCAGACAAGAATAATTTTAATACCAGAAATAGGGATTTTAATTAAACTCTGAGTGTATAAGCGCTGAGAGAAATATCTCTCAGCGAATATATACTTTGGGAACACGTATGTATTTTTTTGAGTACAGTATGTATACAATATATATTTTTAAGAACTAATGCATTTTAACATTAACATAAACACGTATGTAATAGAAGTTAATTAATTTGTAACGTTATTTTATTATACATAAGTCACCCTCACACAGGAGAGTGGAACCTGTATTAACGTTCAGTGCCCCGTGGCTTGGTCGGTGTCCCGTGGCTTGGTCGGTGTCCCGTGGCTTGGTCGGTGCCCCGTGGCTTGGTCGGTGTCCCGTGGCTTGGTCGGTGCCCCGTGGCTTGGTCAGTGCCCCGTGGCTTGGTCGGTGCCCCGTGGCTTGGTCGGTGTCCCGTGGCTTGGTCGGTGTCCCGTGGCTTGGTCGGTGCCCTGTGGCCTGGTCGGTGCCCTGTGGCCTGGTCAGTGCCCCGTGGCCTGGTCGGTGCCCCGTGGCTTGGTCAGTGCCCCGTGGCTTGGTCGGTGCCCTGTGGCTTGGTCGGTGTCCCGTGGCTTGGTCGGTGCCCCGTGGCTTGGTCGGTGCCCCGTGGCTTGGTCGGTGCCCCGTGGCTTGGTCGGTGCCCCGTGGCTTGGTCGGTGCCCCGTGGCTTGGTCGGTGCCCCGTGGTTTGGTCGGTGCCCCGTGGCTTGGTCGGTGCCCCGTGGCTTGGTCGGTGCCCCGTGGCTTGGTCGGTGCCCCGTGGCTTGGTCGGTGCCCCGTGTCTTGGTCGGTGCCCCGTGGCTTGGTCAGTGCCCCGTGGCCTGGTCGCCAGAGCTCTCACTTCACATGGCGAGGGGTCTGGGTTCGATTCCCAGCTCGGGTAGAAACATTGAGCGTGTTTCTTTACACCGGTTGTCTATGTTCACCCATCAGTAAAATGGGTGCTAGTAGACTGGTGTGGGTCGCATCCTGGGACACTGACCTAATTTGCGGGAAATGCTGAATATAACAAGCGGCTTTCTATATAGTAGTATGTCACTGATGTCAGCTATGGTCTGTATACCTTGTATCATGCACTGGTAGAAAATAAAGATATTATTATTATTATTATTATTATATTATTATTATTATTATTATTATTATTAATTATTATTATTATTAATTATTATTATTATTTTATTATTATTATTATTTATTATTATTATTATTATTATTATTATTATTATTATTGTTATTATTATTATTATTTATTATTATTATTATTATTATTATTATTATTATTATTATTATTATTGTTATTATTATTATTATTATTATTATTATTATTATTATTATTATTATTACTGTACAGGTACAGTGATAATCTACTCTGTATGGACGGATCCGTCAGAAAGTTCCAGCCATTACGGAGTCCTGACGAGTTACAGTCGTGTTGTGTTCATCACTTATGATGTTCTCTATCTGGGAATATTTATGGTAATAATATCTTATATTCGTCTATTTCCAAGTTTAGTTTAATAGTTTTGAGATCCAGTACCCATGGTGTAGGTGGTTGTTAAGAGAAACGTTCCGCCCACACAGTAGGCTTCTTCAGTCAAATATAGAGGCTTCAGGTGTAGTGGTGTAATGAAGATGATGTAATCAGTCCTTGGAGAAATAGTATATGAGGAGGTCAGTCCCTCAGTCTACTGTGTAGGCGAAACGTTTCATAAATAAAGATACCCAACTGTTAATCATCAATATGTCTATATTTATACCATTTTGAACATGGATCACAGAGGCAGGTAATGAGTCCAGGGACCTGTGTTCCAGTGTTTTGATAGATAAGCAAATTGTTATGGTAATGAACTATTTACTGGCTAATGAGGTTGGAACAATTATAATGAATTGTTTGTTACAGACCTAATGAGTTCAGGTTAAACTTATTTGCATTTCTTATAAGACTATACCTGGAGTATACCTGGAGAGTGTTTCAGGGGACAGCGCCCCCCAGACCCGGTCCATAACCAGGTATACTGCATAATTTTGACCTTCCCATATATGCTTGGTATAATCAAGATACATGAATGACGCCTCGTTTATTACGGCTCAACGAGCGTTTGTATGAGACAACCAAATTATTTTCTTGACGTTAATACAGCTGACATTCAGTATAATAATTTTCTTAAATCGGTCATTATTATTATTATTATTATTATTATTATTATTATTGTTATTATTATTATTATTATTATTATTATTATTATGTTATTATATATATATATTATTATATATATATAATATATATATATATATATATATATATATATATATATATATTTTGTGTGTAATTATGTTTCTCAAACACCAACGCGAGTGTATATACCTCAGTGACCAGAGTTACGTTACAATATACACATATATATACAAAACAACCACTGGGGGGGGAGGAGGGAGGTGAATGACGGCTTGAGTTATCATTAAAATGGACACCAATGGAAATAAGTTACTGTGTCTTAATATTTTGGGTTATCCTGGGTTCTCTACACATATGCTAATAAGCTTGGTAATCTATATAACTGTATTTGTGTATACCTGAATAAACTTGGTCTGGTGGCTAAAGCTCCCGCTTCACACACGGAGGGCCCGGGTTCGATTCCCGGCGGGTGGAAATTCTGACACGTTTCCTTACACCTGTTGTCCTGTTCACCTAGCAGCAAATAGGTACCTGGGTGTTAGTCGACTGGTGTGGGTCGCATCCTGGGGGACAAGATTAAGGACCCCAATGGAAATAAGTTAGACAGTCCTCGATGACGCACTGACTTTCTTGGGTTATCCTGGGTGGCTAACCCTCCGGGGTTAAAAATCCGAACAAAATCTTCTTCTTCTTCTTCTAATACATCTCCCCCCCCGTGGTTATTTTGCATCCTGTATCACTTGTTCGGGATTTTTATATATTTACATCCAGTTTCCCGTTTTCAGTATTTCTTCTGTGTGAACTCTTGTTCGCCATTATTTGGAGAGGATAAGCAGCCAGCATTATCCACCTCAGACTTGGCCTACATGTATAAAAAATGTGAGAGACGGGCACAGGCCTTCCAGCAGGCCTACAGAAATTGTAAAGTTTCACCTCTTATGGATTATAACAACACTTCCCCAGGTAACATGTACCTTAGGTCTATACTTGAAATATATTTAAAATCACGTCACCTCCCTGTTCAGTCCATCACTCGTTTAGAAAAGTGATGGACTGAACACCGATTCCAGACTGAGGGACTGATTACCTCAAACTCCTCCTCTCCTTGCCCATTTCTACTTTGTATTGGACTGATGAAGCCACTGTGTGGCGAAACGTTTCCTTAATAAAGATTCCCATATGTTGCATAAGTGTTTCATTCTTTACCTTCTCCATAATTACTATTACATTTGCTTTGTTTCGTAAGGTAAAGTCCAGGATCTTCCTTAATTCCAGGTATAACTTAAATCTTTGATGACAATTGTGTTGTAGAGTTCAGACTTCTACAACACATTTATCCTCGAAGATTTGTTAAGTTATACCTTGAATTAAGTAAAGATCCTGGACTTCACTGTACGAAACAGACAAAGAAAATGTGACAAAAAAAGGCACAATACCGTGACTGGAACGATACACAAATAACCCGCACATAAAAGAGAGAAGCTTACGACGACGTTTCGGTCCGACTTGGACCATTGTTGCGCATGTGTCTTAATTTCATCTTGTCGGTATTATATACCATTCTTGTACTACTACTACTACTACTACTACTACTACTACTACTACTACTACTACCACCTCTTCCTGCCTATATATAGCCGTCCTGCTCCACTTCTGGTTAGTGTGACTTTGTAAATGGTCCAAGTCGGACCGAAACGTCGTCGTAAGCTTCTCTCTTTTATGTGCGGGTTATTTGTGTATCGAAAATGTGATAGTAATTATGGATCAGGTAGATTATAGTGGAAAAATGAAGATGTTATTAGGAGACAGGAGAACTTAGGTGCTTCTTAGGTTCAGAGTAAGATGAAATTCAATGTTAAAATATTTTACCTACTTAGATTTTTTTAAATTTTGATAAGTGTGGTAATAAGTAAGGAAATCACTGTTGAAAACTTAGGGTTGATGAGCACGTATCGGCCCTTAGACCTCCAAGAAATAATGGTTTATGGGATGTTCAGTGAAGGTGTCTTAAGTGAATGAATTTACATTAATTTTCTTCAAGAAATGTGAGTCTTAGGTCATTCATTGATACATTTAAAACATCGAAGAGTTTGATTTGTTTACAGGTTGGGATTAAATCATTAAAATGACTTCTTTACAGAGGCTTAGAACATCAAAATGACTGACTTCTTTACAGGGGCTTAGAACATCAAAATGACTGACTTCTTTACAGGGGCTTAGAACATCAAAATGACTGACTTCTTTACAGGGGCTTAGAACATCAAAATGACTGACTTCTTTACAGAGGCTTAGAACATCAAAATGACTGACTTCTTTACAGGGGCTTAGAACATCAAAATGACTGACTTCTTTACAGAGGCTTAGAACATCAAAATGACTGACTTCTTTACAGGGGCTTAGAACATCAAAATGACTGACTTCTTTACAGGGGCTTAGAACATCAAAATGATTGCCTTCTGTACAGGGGCTTAGAACATCAAAATGACTGACTTCTTTACAGGGGCTTAGAACATCAAAATGACTGACTTCTTTACAGGGGCTTAGAACATCAAAATGACTGACTTCTTTACAGAGGCTTAGAACATCAAAATGACTGACTTCTTTACAGGGGCTTAGAACATCAAAATGACTGACTTCTTTACAGGGGCTTAGAACATCAAAATGATTGCCTTCTGTACAGGGGCTTAGAACATCAAAATGACTGACTTCTTTACAGGGGCTTAGAACACAAATGCTACATACAGGTAAACAAAATGACTGACTTCTTTACAGGGGCTTAGAACATCAAAATGACTGACTTCTTTACAGAGGCTTAGAACATCAAAATGACTGACTTCTTTACAGAGGCTTAGAACATCAAAATGACTGACTTCTTTACAGGGGCTTAGAACATCAAAATGACTGACTTCTTTACAGGGCTTAGAACATCAAAATGACTGACATTCTTACAGGGGCTTAGAAATCAAAATGACTGACTTCTTTAAGGCTTAGAACATCAAAATGATGCCTTTTACAGGGGATTAGAACATCAATGACTGATTCTTTACAGGGCTTAGAATCAAATGACTGACTTCTTACAGGGGCTTAGAACATCAAAATGACTGACTTCTTACAGGGCTTGAACATCAAATATTGATTCTTACAGAGCTAGCCAACATCAACATGACAGACTTCTTTACAAGGCTTAAACATCAAAATGATGACTTTTACAGGCTTATGAACATCAAAATGAAATGCACTTCTACAGAGCCTATAGAAATCAAAATATTTAATCTGTCAGGGGCTTAGATAATCAAAATACTGTCTCTTTAGAGTTGAATTAAAAATAAAAATTAACTGACTTCTATAAGGTGGGATGGTTAGACGTCTACAGACATCCATTATGGTAATCTTGATTCTGTAATTATTGTCTCCTACCTTATTTGCCCCACACATCCACTACTGTCAACCTGGCTCATTGTTCAGGTAACACACCAATGATTATTATTATTATCACAATCGAAGGCACTCAACGCACCAGCTGAAAGGACACTTATAGACTTGCGATATAAAGTACTCCTGTCACCCATTTCTAAAAAAAATTACTAAAAACGTATGAAGGACATAGAAATCCATCTTCCTTAAGCAAGTAAATAATTGTATTAGACACAGTTACACATATGTACATTTATCATGCAAATAAATAGTTGAATAACCAAAAAGTCACTGTCTACTTTTTTAGGGTTATCCTGGGTAATTTACACTTGATATGTCCTATGATACCTGGCCTAAACAATCATGTTTACCATCTACACACACCTTAAAATGTGTAATCAGTTTTGCTATAATGTCTTCGTTTCACCCTTTTTTTTCCTGAATCTCTGAGGTTCATTGATGGTGCGACAGGTGGGGCCACAATGGCCAGTGTGTTGGCCACTCTACCAGGATATTACTGCTGGAGGATAAGCAGGAGCAGCAGTAACCTCCTTGTTCTCCTGCTAACACCTGCTGCACTCCTAGTAGGCTTTCTGTTGCTGTGGCCTGCTATAGGTATGTACGTCTGTTGCTGTGGCCTGCCATAGGTATGTACGTCTGTTGCTGTGGCCTGACATAGGTATGTACGTCTGTTGCTGTGGCCTGCCATAGGTATGTACGTCTGTTGCTGTGGCCTGACATAGGTATGTACGTCTGTTGCTGTGGCCTGCCATAGGTATGTACGTCTGTTGCTGTGGCCTGACATAGGTATGTACGTCTGTTGCTGTGGCCTGCCATAGGTATGTACGTCTGTTACTGTGGCCTGCCATAGGTATGTATGTCTGTTGCTGTGGCCTGCTATAGGTATGTACGTCTGTTGCTGTGGCCTGCCATAGGTATGTATGTCTGTTGCTGTGGCCTGCCATAGGTATGTATGTCTGTTGCTGTGGCCTGCTATAGGTATGTACGTCTGTTGCTGTGGCCTGCCATAGGTATGTATGTCTGTTGCTGTGGCCTGCCATAGGTATGTACGTCTGTTGCTGTGACCTGACATAGGTATGTACGTCTGTTGCTGTGGCCTGCCATAGGTATATACTTCTGTTGCTATGGCCTGCTATAGGTATGTATGTCTGTTGCTGTGGCCTGCCATAGGTATGTACGTCTGTTGCTGTGGCCTGCCATATGTATGTACGTCTGTTGCTGTGGCCTGCCATAGGTATGTACGTCTGTTGCTGTGGCCTGACATAGGTATGTATGTCTGTTGCTGTGGCCTGCCATAGGTATGTATGTCTGTTGCTGTGGCCTGCCATAGGTATGTACGTCTGTTGCTGTGGCCTGCCATAGGTATGTAGGTCTGTTGCTGTGGCCTGACATAGGTATGTACGTCTGTTGCTGTGCCTGCTAATGGTATGTATGTCTGTTGCTGTGGCCTGACATAGGTATGTACGTCTGTTGCTGTGGCCTGACATAGGTATGTACGTCTGTTGCTGTGGTCTGCTATAGGTATGTATGTCTGTTGCTGTGGCCTGCCATAGGTATGTACGTCTGTTGCTGTGGCCTGCCATAGGTATGTACGTCTGTTGCTGTGGCCTGCCATAGGTATATACTTCTGTTGCTATGGCCTGCTATAGTCAGGTATGTCTGTTGCAGTGACCTGCTATAGTACTCACCTAATTGTGGTTGCAGGGGTCGAGACTCGGCTTCTGGCCCCGCCTCTTCACTGAGTGCTACTAGGTCCTTTCCCTGCTCCATGAGCTTCGTCATACCTTATCTTAAAGCTATGTATGGTTCCTGCCTTCACTACCTCATTTGCTAGGCTATTCCACTTCCTGACAACTCTATGACTGAAGAAATACTTCCTAACATCTATTTGACTCATCTGGGTCTTCAGCTTCCAATTGTGACCCCTTGTTTCTGTGTCCCCTCTCTGGAACATCCTGTCTCTGTCCACCTTGTCTATTCCACGCAGTATTTTGTATGTTGTTATCATGTCTCCCCTAACCCTCCTGTCCTCCAGTGTCGTCAAGCCAATTTCCCTCAACCTTTCTTCGTAGGACATTCCCCTTAGCTCTGGAACTAACTTTGTCGCAAACCTTTGCACTTTCTCTAATTTCTTGACGTGCTTGATCAAGTGTGGGTTCCAAACAGGTGCTGCATATTTCAATATGGGCCTGACGTACACAGTGTACAGTGTCTTGAACGATTCCTTACTAAGGTATCGGAACGCTATTCTCAGGTTTACCAGGCGCCCATATGCTGCAGCAGTTATCTGGTTGAAGTGTGCTTCCGGAGACATGCTCGGTGTTATACTCACCCCAAGATCTTTCTCCTTGAGCGAGGTTTGCAGTCTTTGTCCGCCTAGTTTATACTCTGTCTGCGGTCTTCTTTGCTCTTCCCCGATCTTCATGACTACATTTGGTAGGGTTAAATTCTAGAAGCCAGTTGCTGGACCAGGTGTCCAGCCTGTCCAGGTCTCTTTGGAGTCCTGCCTGATCCTCATCTGATTTAATTCTTCTCATTAACTTCACATCATCTGTGAACAGGGACACTTCTGAGTCTAACCCTTCCATCATGTCATTTACTTATACCAGAAATAGCACTGGTCCTAGAACCGACCCCTGTGGGACCCCGCTCGTCACAGGTGCCCACTGTAATACCTCAATACGTACCATGATTCGTTGTTGCCTCCCTGTCAGGTATTCTCTGATCCATTGAAGTGCCCTTCCTGTTATACGTGCCTGATCCTATAGCTTTTGCATCAATCTCCTGTGAGGAATTGTGTCGAAGGTCTTGTTGCAG